GGGGGGGGGAGGGGGGGCGGCGGGGAAGCGATGCCCCCCAGGCCCGAGGAGCTGCAGCCATGCAATTCTCCAGCATTTTGCATCACTCCCTGTTTCTCCTGAGCAGTGAGTACCAGCGTTGGGGGGAGGGGGGAGATGATTAATTGCATGAAAGGGGCCCCCTCCCGAAGCGCAGATGCAATCACTGCAGCTCAAACAGAGGGGAAAGTTGGGGGGGGATAAGGGAATGACCTTCCCTTCCTCCCCTCTCCCCCTGCAATGAGTTTGTTTGGATAAAGGATTCTCCTCCCCAGCCTTTGCCTGTGGCCTGCCTGCATCTCACAGGTGAAGTGAACTTCTCTGGGCACTGACCAAGGCTCCTCTGGTTCCGCCTGTCCTGCTTTTTCCTTGTTTTCCCCTTTCCATTCCTCTGCCATTCCTCCAAGAAGTGGAAGTGCAGCTCCGACCGCCCACCCCAGCTCGTCAGCATGAAGAGGTGCAAATCGGATGAGCTGCAGCAGCCTGAGGAGGACTGCGCTGGGGCTGAAGATGCTCCCAACCTGGCTGCCATGGATGCCAAACCCGGGGATTGTGCTTCCGCTCTGCCCGATTCGGGCGCCGCTGCTCACCCAAACCCTGCTCCCCATCCTGTTCTCCGGAGCAAGCCTCCCGATTTAAAGGTAAGCCTCCCAAGCCACCGCCTCTGCAGGTATTGCAAAGGGACTTGGGTTTTTCCTGCATGCTGCTGGAACACAAGTTCCATCCAGAGATTCATATGTGGTTTATTATTTGCATGAGAACTTGACTTTCTAGTTGAGGAGTAGTGATGATTGACACATAGCAGTATTTTCTTTTAGGGTTCCCCCATTGTACTCCTCTACCCCTGCTGTGTACAAATAGGTATGTTATGTGTTTTTAAGCCTATTCACCAAAATATTTTATTTAAAAAATCGTAGCTTGTGGATGCTACAGAGGTATTGAAAGGGCTGTGGTTTATGGGACATGAAGAGCAAAGGGACACTAGTTGTGAGTTTGTAAATTGATGTTAGTCTTTTCTTTAAGAGAATCAGTGCTGAAGAATAGTCATTCATACCCCAGCTTCTGATCCAGTTTACACTTTCTTGATTTAATCTGGATTATACTAATGTCACTGAGATCAGAATCTGGTGATCTCAGCTAAAAAAGGTCTGAAACCATGCCTGCGGCGGGCCTTTCTTGAAGGATGAGGGACTGTGGCAGGGCCCATGTTCTGCAGAGGAACTCAGCAGATCATGTTAAATAAAACCCAGGGCAGCAGGTGTGAAGGAGCTAAACTAGAGAACACCCACACCTTGTCTGCTTTAATTCAAGTGCAGCTGCAGTCAGAAAAGTATGTAAAAATGCCCCCTTCTCACTCCCAGCGCTGCCTTCTGTGGGTCACACCTACATACTGGCAACAATATGTTTTTACTAGCACTGCAGAACTGGTACAGCTCTGGGAGAACAAGCTGGGTTCTGTTTTGCCTTGCACATCACCATCAGAGCTACTGGCTAATCAGTTCCTATTGGTCACCGACATCAGTGCAAGAGGAAGAAAGGGCACTGCAGGAGGTCCCCCTTTGGAGCAATGCTGCTCCGGAATCATTGGAAAAGAGGGATACACGGGAAATCTGACTTGCTTTATTTTCGCAGAGGCAAGTTTTCTGACTGTGACTTCTCTTCAAATTCTGCAGGCACTGCAGTGCATTTCACTAGATCTAAAACATGTTCTCACCCCGACTTGATAAAATAGTGCACCCCTTATTCTAATAACACTGACCCTAGAGTGATTTTTTTTATCAGTTTCAATGTGTTGTACAGGAGGTATGTGTAATTAGCTGCAGGCAGGGAAACTGAGGCAGAATACCAGGGCCTCGGGTTGTGTAAGCCATATTTCATTGGCTCCAGAAAAGCTGCAGGGATTATACCTGCTGATGATCTGGCCCAGAGAGGTTAAACACCTTGCCCAAGTTCACACAGTGGTGGATGGTACCTAAGTGTCATGACTTTTAGTCCAGTGCTTCATCTCTATTTGCCAGTGTCGCCAGTTACCCCAAGGCAGATGTGAATCAAAAATGTCCATTAGGCTGTGTAATGTCATTAGGCAGGTGCCTCTCTTCCTCTTGGAGTTGTGGAGCTCTCGGCTTCTCTGTCATTGGCTCTTTCCAGTTGCTGTTGTGCTTTCGGATTGAATGCACCTGTCACTGCTGCTCTATGAACAGCAATAAAAGAGCTGCTAAGAGTTATGCATAAGACAGATGACCAGAGCCCCCGGTGGTATGCTTACCCCACGTGCTTCCAAAGTGGCTTTTGCTGGCCGACTCCTTCAATGGACACTTGGCCTTCTGCTTGCATGGCCATTCGAGCAGCTCCATGCATGCCTGATCCAACTGCTCAGCTGTTCAGACTGGCCTGCAGTGAATTGGATGGGGGCAGAAAAAGGTGAGGAGGCACGGAAACGTAGGAGAAGGGACCAGGGAAACAGAGCACAGGCTGAAGTGGGTGGCAGGACCCTTCCAAAGAGAGCAAGGGGGAAAAGCAGGCAGGAGAGGGAAAGATGGAGAATAGTTACGGGAGGCAAGAGCAGCTGAGAGCGGAGATCAAGAGACACACACACCAGGGCAAGCGAGCCCATGTCATCCCCAGCTAGTGCATCTCATCCTGAACTGGAGCAGCCACTTACCAGGACTGGGTGGGGAGTCCAGTCTCAATGGCTTATTTAGTCCTGGCCTCCTGTACTGAGACTGCAAGCTACGGTGCTAATTATGGTGGCTTTGTCCTGTGGACAACTGTGCACTGAGACTCCTAGGCCCTCCACCAAATAACTTCATAGCAGAATAATTTTTGGTCACCAGTGACCTATGCTGGACGTGTACCGGTAACCTGGAAAAAAAAGGCTCCCTTCTGTTCTCTCTAGTCTCCTTACTTCTCCAGCCCCTTCTCTGCAAACGCGTGGTGGTTTCCTCTTGTACAAGTATTAATCCAGTTCTTTTGGTATGAGCAAGCTTCCCATGACCAAAAAAAAAAAAAAAGAAAGAAAGAAAGAAAAACACTTAAGAATCCTGGCAAGAAGCAGAGCAGATGTGTGACACATAATTCTGCTTAAAAATATGTTGGGTGGTAGATATTTCTGAGCTCTGCATCAACATGCCGCAAAAGAAGGCATTCACATCTTCTCTGGAAGAGATGGTAGGCTGGGTGTCCTGTGGGGAAGAGATCATAAAGGCATTTTGCCCCTTAGATCTCATTTCTGTCTTCCCCAGGCAGCTGTGATCTGTGCAGATTCTCTCTGGTTTTTTTCCATAATTGCCTGAGTTTGATGGCCACAGGAACCAGGGTCTGAATGTTGAAACCTGTCATGGTTTTGATCTAAAATCATCTCTGTCGTCATGGTCCCCGCCTCTCCCCTTGTGTTTGACCTTGGAAGTGAAGAGCAGCTGGGAATCTGAAGGCTCCACTTGAGTTCCACTCTTCTCCCCAGGCCTGATCCCAAGCCCGTGGAAAACCTCCCCTTGCCTTCACGGAGCCCTAGCATAGCCCACTTGTGTGCTGCTCCGGGGTGTCAAGGAAGTGGAAAGCAGCCAGGTCCTCTCTGCACATTCCCACCCTGCTGCAGGAGCATTCCTAACAGGTGCACAGCCAGTGTAGACAACTCCTTTGTCGCGCCCCCTCCTAGGGCAATGGGAGTGGCCAGCTTACACTGCACCATGACGGTCTCCTGGAGGCCTGAGCCTGTTGGCATAGATTAGAGCAGTCCCTGGGCAGGGCATAGCTGAGGCTCTGGGCTTGGAGCTGTCAGTGCCTAGCTGGGGATCCCAGACTTTAGCACTTACCTCCCCCACCTTGGTCAGTGTATGGCCATCAGGGCATGGTGCTTTTCACCCAGACTTTTCTTGACAGGGTGATGGACTTTGTGAGCAAGATTTAACAGGCAGGGTCCCATTCTGTGTGGGCTGGGCTGGGCTTTAGCCTTGTTAACTTGGCATGAGTTTGTAGCAACAGGGTTGAAAAACTGAATAATTCGTCTTCCTAGGGCAAAGCCGTTGCTCCTGCTCTAGGGTTACACCCCTTGCAAACACAGCCTGATCTAAAAAAGCCCATTGTAGTCAATGGAAAAAGACATAATTGGGGATTGGATCAGGTCCGTGAAGCCACACCCTACAAACTAAACTCACTTTGAACCTAGACTTCACTGGAGAAAAAACTCTCATTGGGGCCAAACCCTGAACTTTTGACTCCACTTTTACTCTTGCTCTTTTATTCCTTATTCAGGTAGGTCTGTTTTTGGGGTACAAAGGGACCCATTAAGAGTCCCTCTCTTTCCCAACTTTCTAGATTGCCCTCCTAGGCCAGGTCTACACTAGGAAACTGTTTCAAAATAACTACATTGGACTTAACTCCCGATTTTACGAAATCAAAATAGCATGTCCCCACTATGGAGAAAGCCTCGAAATGAGTCTGAGGCAGGCTCCATTAATGTGGATGTGCTACCTCCACTTAGAGGCCCAGGAGGCACTGGGGAGTAATTAGTTCGAATGACTCTGGGGAATCATTATTTCGAAATAGCAGCATCAGAGCATCCACATTAACACTATTTCAAAATTAGCGTTATTCCCCAAGAAAAGCAGGAGTAGAGATTTTGAAATAACGGGCGTGGTCGTGTGGACGCTCCTCTTGTAAATTAGACCTAAGGGGGTTATTTCAAAATAAAGCCCTAGTGTACATCAGGGTCTAGAGAACCTTTCAAGACCCCTTCTTGCAGCTTCGGCCAGAGAATGTCCATGCTCCTGACCCAGGAGTTGCCCGCAGGGGAAGCTAAGACATTCCGCCCCCCCCGAAAAAAGACATTATCCCTAGATATACTAGAATTCACTTCCTTGTCCCAGCCATTTATGTGAATTTTTTGGTTTCAAAGGACACCGTGAAGGTGGGTTATGTCCCTATGGTTAGATGGCCCTGAACAGAAGTGCCCCAGTCACTGGAAAGTCCAAATTTACCAAATTCATCTTGGCTCCAGGCATGGATCCCACCAATTCCCTTTGCCTCACTCATGCGCACACCAAGCGCTACATGGGGGACTGTGCTACCTGCCTCCAGCTAATGTAAACCACCATTTCAGAAGTGTGGGGGTGTGAGTAGGTGCTCAAACAATTGCTCAAAGGCAAGAACTCCAAGCAGTTAATTAATACCACCACAACATTCTTCGGTATCATGTCTCAACCAAGGATCTCAAATCACTCTGAAAGTGTTAATCATGGATTCTCACAGAGCTTGGGGAAGATCATTACTGTTCCTATTTTACAGAAGGGGACACTGAGGCAGGAAGTATTTTGCCTAAAGTCACACAGCAAGTCAGTGATAAGAGCCAGGAATAGGACACAGGAGTCTTGCCTCTCAGTTCCCTGCTATAACCCAGTTGGCCACTCTCATCAAAGTTTGCTCATGGGGAATAGGTTAACAGGTTTGGCGCACATGTTCATTGCACAAGTCTGGAACATCGAGGTTCTGGATTCAGTTGTGAATTGCATCACACGTGACGTGAGTTTGGATGGTCTCAGCCTGATGCCAAAGAACCTTGCACTGCATGGCTATGGGCTCTGCAGAGGGAAGCTGTATTTCCTTTCCCTAGTCCGGGTGGTGATGCAGTGACTGAATAGCCATT